AATCTGTAACTAAATAAGTACTTTACACAAACTGTAACTAAATCAGTACTGTACACAAACTGTAACTAAATCAGTACTGTACATAAACTGTCTGTAACTAAATCAGTACTGTACACAAACTGTCTGTAACTAAATCAGTACTGTACACAATCTGTAACTAAATCAGTACTGTACACAAACTGTCTGTAACTAAATCAGTACTGTACACAAACTGTACCCAAAACTAAATCAGTACTGTACACAAACTGTAAACTGTAACTAAATCAGTACTGTACACAAACTGTCTGTAACTAAATCAGTACTATACACAAACTGTATCAGTACTGTACACAAACTGTCTGTAACTAAATAAATCTGTAACTAAATCAGTACTGTACACAAACTGTAACTAAATCAGTACTGTACACAAACTGTAACTAAATCAAATACACAAACTGTAACTAAATCAGTACTGTACACAAACTGTCTGTAACTAAATCAGTACTATACACAAACTGTCTGTAACTAAATCAGTACTATACACAAACTGTCTGTAACTAAATCAGTACTGTACACAAACTGTCTGTAACTAAATCAGTACTATACACAAACTGTCTGTAACTAAATCAGTACTATACACAATCTGTCTGTAACTAAATCAGTACTGTACACAAACTGTCTGTAACTAAATCAGTACTGTACACAAACTGTCTGTAACTAAATCAGTACTATACACAAACTGTAACTAAATCAGTACTGTACACAAACTGTCTGTAACTAAATCAGTACTATACACAAACTGTCTGTAACTAAATCAGTACTGTACACAAACTGTCTGTAACTAAATCAGTACTGTACACAAACTGTCTGTAACTAAATCAGTACTATACACAAACTGTAACTAAATCAGTAAACTGTAACTAAATCAGTACTGTACACAAACTGTCTGTAACTAAATCAGTACTATACACAAACTGTAACTAAATCAAACTGTAACTAAATCAGTACTGTACACAAACTGTCTGTAACTAAATCAGTACTGTACACAAACTGTAACTAAATCAGTAAACTGTAACTAAATCAGTACTGTACACAAACTGTCTGTAACTAAATCAGTACTATACACAAACTGTAACTAAATCAGTACTGTACACAAACTGTAACTAAATCAGTACTGTACACAAACTGTAACTAAATCAGTACTGTACACAAACTGTAACTAAATCAGTACTGTACACAATCTGTAACTAAATAAGTACTGTATACAATCTGTAACTAAATAAGTACTGTACACAAACTGTAACTAAATCAGTACTGTACACAAAGTGTAACTAAATCAGTACCGTACACAAACTGTCTGTAACTAAATCAGTACTGTACACAAACTGTAACTAAATCAGTACTGTACATAAACTGTCTGTAACTAAATCAGTACTGTACACAAACTGTCTGTAACTAAATCAGTACTATACACAAACTGTAACTAAATCAGTACTGTACACAAACTGTAAATAAATCAGTACTGTACACAAACTGTCTGTAACTAAATCAGTACTGTACACAAACTGTCTGTAACTAAATCAGTACTGTACACAAACTGTAACTAAATCAGTACTGTACACAAACTGTAACTAAATCAGTACCGTACACAAACTGTCTGTAACTAAATCAGTACTATACACAAACTGTCTGTAACTAAATCAGTACTATACACAAACTGTAACTAAATCAGTACTGTACACAAACTGTCTGTAACTAAATCAGTACTGTACACAATCTGTAACTAAATCAGTACTGTACACAAACTGTAACTAAATCAGTACTGTACACAAACTGTAACTAAATCAGTACTGTACACAAACTGTAACTAAATCAGTACTGTACACAAACTGTCTGTAACTAAATCAGTACTGTACACAAACTGTCTGTAACTAAATCAGTACTGTGCACAATCTGTAACTAAATCAGTACTATACACAAACTGTAACTAAATCAGTACTGTACACAAACTGTAACTAAATCAGTACTGTACACAAGCTGTAACTAAATCAGTACTGTACACAAACTGTAACTAAATCAGTACTGTACACAATCTGTAACTAAATAAGTACTGTATACAATCTGTAACTAAATAAGTACTGTACACAAACTGTAACTAAATCAGTACTGTACACAAACTGTAACTAAATCAGTACTGTACATAAACTGTCTGTAACTAAATCAGTACTGTACACAAACTGTCTGTAACTAAATCAGTACTGTACACAATCTGTAACTAAATCAGTACTGTACACAAACTGTCTGTAACTAAATCAGTACTGTACACAATCTGTAACTAAATCAGTACTATACACAAACTGTAACTAAATCAGTACTGTACCCAAACTGTCTGTAACTAAATCAGTACTGTACACAAACTGTAACTAAATCAGTAAACTGTAACTAAATCAGTACTGTACACAAACTGTCTGTAACTAAATCAGTACTATACACAAACTGTAACTAAATCAGTACTGTACACAAACTGTCTGTAACTAAATCAGTACTATACACAAACTGTCTGTAACTAAATCAGTACTGTACACAAACTGTCTGTAACTAAATCAGTACTGTACACAAACTGTCTGTAACTAAATCAGTACTATACACAAACTGTAACTAAATCAGTACTGTACACAAACTGTCTGTAACTAAATCAGTACTATACACAAACTGTCTGTAACTAAATCAGTACTATACACAAACTGTCTGTAACTAAATCAGTACTGTACACAAACTGTCTGTAACTAAATCAGTACTATACACAAACTGTCTGTAACTAAATCAGTACTATACACAATCTGTCTGTAACTAAATCAGTACTGTACACAAACTGTCTGTAACTAAATCAGTACTGTACACAAACTGTCTGTAACTAAATCAGTACTATACACAAACTGTAACTAAATCAGTACTGTACACAAACTGTCTGTAACTAAATCAGTACTATACACAAACTGTCTGTAACTAAATCAGTACTGTACACAAACTGTCTGTAACTAAATCAGTACTGTACACAAACTGTCTGTAACTAAATCAGTACTATACACAAACTGTAACTAAATCAGTAAACTGTACCTAAATCAGTACTGTACACAAACTGTCTGTAACTAAATCAGTACTATACACAAACTGTAACTAAATCAGTAAACTGTAACTAAATCAGTACTGTACACAAACTGTCTGTAACTAAATCAGTACTGTACACAAACTGTAACTAAATCAGTAAACTGTAACTAAATCAGTACTGTACACAAACTGTCTGTAACTAAATCAGTACTATACACAAACTGTCTGTAACTAAATCAGTACTATACACAAACTGTCTGTAACTAAATCAGTACTATACACAATCTGTCTGTAACTAAATCAGTACTGTACACAAACTGTCTGTAACTAAATCAGTACTGTACACAAACTGTCTGTAACTAAATCAGTACTATACACAAACTGTAACTAAATCAGTACTGTACACAAACTGTCTGTAACTAAATCAGTACTATACACAAACTGTCTGTAACTAAATCAGTACTGTATACAAACTGTCTGTAACTAAATCAGTACTGTACACAAACTGTCTGTAACTAAATCAGTACTATACACAAACTGTAACTAAATCAGTACTGTACACAAACTGTCTGTAACTAAATCAGTACTATACACAAACTGTCTGTAACTAAATCAGTACTATACACAAACTGTCTGTAACTAAATCAGTACTGTACACAAACTGTCTGTAACTAAATCAGTACTATACACAAACTGTCTGTAACTAAATCAGTACTATACACAATCTGTCTGTAACTAAATCAGTACTGTACACAAACTGTCTGTAACTAAATCAGTACTGTACACAAACTGTCTGTAACTAAATCAGTACTATACACAAACTGTAACTAAATCAGTACTGTACACAAACTGTCTGTAACTAAATCAGTACTATACACAAACTGTCTGTAACTAAATCAGTACTGTACACAAACTGTCTGTAACTAAATCAGTACTGTACACAAACTGTAACTAAATCAGTACTATACACAAACTGTAACTAAATCAGTACTGTACACAAACTGTCTGTAACTAAATCAGTACTATACACAAACTGTAACTAAATCAGTACTGTACACAAACTGTCTGTAACTAAATCAGTACTGTACACAAACTGTAACTAAATCAGTACTATGCACAAACTGTAACTAAATCAGTACTGTACACAAACTGTAACTAAATCAGTACTGTACACAAACTGTCTGTAACTAAATCAGTACTATACACAAACTGTAACTAAATCAGTACTGTACACAAACTGTCTGTAACTAAATCAGTACTGTACACAAACTGTCTGTAACTAAATCAGTACTGTACACAAACTGTCTGTAACTAAATCAGTACTATACACAAACTGTAACTAAATCAGTACTGTACACAAACTGTCTGTAACTAAATCAGTACTGTACACAAACTGTAACTAAATCAGTACTATACACAAACTGTAACTAAATCAGTACTGTACACAAACTGTAACTAAATCAGTACTGTACACAATCTGTAACTAAATCAGTACTGTACACAAACTGTAACTAAATCAGTACTGTACACAAACTGTCTGTAACTAAATCAGTACTGTACACAAACTGTCTGTAACTAAATCAGTACTGTACACAAACTGTAACTAAATCAGTACTGTACACAAACTGTAACTAAATTAGTACTGTACACAAACTGTCTGTAACTAAATCAGTACTATACACAAACTGTAACTAAATCAGTACTGTACACAAACTGTCTGTAACTAAATCAGTACTGTACACAAACTGTCTGTAACTAAATCAGCACATTTTAGAAAATGTTTAACTAAATTGTTTTTGTACACAAAATGTCTGCATCTTAATCAGTTTTATACAAAAAAGGTCTGACTAAATCAAAACTGTTCACAAAATTAATCTGTCCTTGTAGGCTGATCAGAATAATGGAACATGGATAGAGAAAACAGAAGAAATCCTGTTTGCAGACTTCAAGTTCTTAGTGTCTCACCACTATTTAAAACCTGCTTCCTCCCCTGATCAGACACCAGACATGAGACAAAGTCCCGATGAGGAAGGGGAGGAGATGGAAGAGGTGGAGGAAAAAGAAGGTAAACATGCCTGAAGGACAAGTGAGCTGATGCTTTGGCTGTAAAGTAGAACTGTATGGGATTTGTTGATAGACAAGACTGGCTTCATACAATATACACAAAATTTATTTATGATTTGTACAAAAGCATTTCTATACTGAAACAATAACACACATACAACACAGTTTAACATTCCATAATGATGAATAATTGGGAATTTTTGAAATATGCATTAAGATAATATGTAGGACACCCTTTACAAAAGTCGGACATATGGAAAAAGTAAAATTCATTTCACAAAAACTTCTGACTCTTACTGGAATCAGGAGCCTAACACTTGCTGTACCAATCTTATCAGTAGCAAAAAATGACATCATTAGTTTGATCATACTGATATGTGAACATCCGAAGTGTTTAAACAAGCTATGAAATGTTATTGGTCACTATTGTGTAAGGCTCTTTAAAAGAATAATAAAAAAAACATTTAATTGGATAAACCAGTCAGTAATTGGTGGGCTGTCAGTAGACAGTTATAATAGCTGATCATCGATGTTGAAATCTCAACCCATCTTACTGAAGACAAGAAAATATTCAATGGATTTATGAACATTCACTACTTGAAACCTTCAATGGCCTACACCGTGATCTACACTTCAAAATGTGCAAATTTCAGAACCACACTTTACAAGGCATGATCAGTTATTACCTCTCTAATCACACTCATCCACCACAATGACCATCTTAATTTATCATGACTTTATGTCTTGAACCTTCCTATGATATATATATATAATCAGCATGACCAATCACTAGAGATCATATGTCATTACTTACTGAAATATAATTTCCTTTATTTCAATACACATACCACACAATTTCTATAAGAGGCGTCGACACTTTGATCTTTAGTTTCAATGATAAAATTTTTCAGATGTGATACCTACAGTTATGATGGACATGATGAACACGGAGAATGACTTCCCATCTAAAGCTCATTTCCTGTCTAGATTGTAAGTATAAAAAGCGTCACCAAACGATAACCATTAGCGTCATGATTCTAATCAGTAATTCAATTTTTGAAAGATATTACTGAATCAAAGTCAAATAAGAATAATCTACATCAATATGTTGCCGTCCTACTTTTGCCCGTACAGACATCAGAATATATGAAATAGGAAATATTTCATTTTCAAATTTTATTCTTAATTGTTACACGAAAAACCCTCATTCTGTGTTATTATATCTCCTGTAATGAAGTTTGAGAAACTAAGGGGGCGTGGAGGAGGGAGGGGTTGTAATACTGGACTTGCCTAGTGTGTATGCCGTTTGCAAATATTGTCTGGAGAACTCCTTCCAAACTGGAGAACTGATTCAAATGAAACTCCATATGGATTGAAAGGACCATATGTGCATGCAATTTTTGTTTGCGAATGTTTGATTGCTATGGTAATAGTACAAACTTATAAAGGGGAATGCCAAATATCACTGTATGTGTTTCATTGCCATGACTACCATGCTCAGGCAAATGCTGGTCTCTGATTGCTTGAAATTGAGATATTGCTTGATATGACCAAGTCTGGTTAACAAGGTCATTAGGGGATGTCAAACACCACTGTATAGATTTTATTGTCATGACAACAATATCATATGCTAGGGCAAATGGTGGCCTCTGATTGGTTGATACTTAGATCTTATCTGATTTTTACCTTATTTTGTATATAGAAGTATAAGGAAATGCCAAAATTAATTTTTAAATGTTTTTGACGCTTTCATGGAGTTTTTACATCTTTGGGGGGTATTAGTCTTTCTCAGGATGCAACTGCATCTGAAAAAAAAAAATCTTTCATTAAAATGTAATAGTGTGATACTTGGAACTTAAGAAAAAAAGGTATGGCTTTCAGTAACTTGTGTTTATTCAAACTGCAGCATGGCTTATAGGAATGTGTTGTTTTCACATTGCAGGTACGGTTTACAAGAATTTGTTGTGATTGCACCCTCCAGTAAGTCTGATGCCATCGATAGTGAGAGTCGAATTAAACTACTGCTCAGCTCAGTGTCCATAGCATTAAGTAATGCTGGATGGTAGGTTTACATTTCCTAACTTATCAAACCACCATATTATGTTCATATATTTACATATTCAGGGGAGAATGAACGAAGTCATTGTTTTGTTAAACATTTGTTAAACTGTCGTTTTTGTAGTTTATCTTTCAGTCCAGTTTCTGTACTATCAGTATTGTACTTCATCTTTGAGTCGAGCATCTATACTGTCAGTATTGTACTTTATCTTTAAGTCCAGTATCTGTACTGTCAGTATTGTACTTCATCTTTCAGTCCAGTATCTGTACTGTCAGTGCTGTACTTTATCTTTCAGTCCAGTATCTGTCTTTTATCTTTCAGTCCAGTATCTGTACTGTCAGTGCTGTACTTTATCTTTCAGTCCAGTATCTGTCTTTTATCTTTCAGTCCAGTATCTGTACTGTCAGTATTGTACTTTATCTTTCAGTCCAGTATCTATACTGTCAGTATTGTACTTCATCTTTCAGTCCAGTATCTGTACTGTCAGTGCTGTACTTTATCTTTCAGTCCAGTATCTGTCTTTTATCTTTCAGTCCAGTATCTGTACTGTCAGTATTGTACTTTATCTTTCAGTCCAGTATCTTTACTGTCAGTATTGTAATTATCTTTCAGTCCAGAATCTGTACTGTCAGTATTGTACTTTATCTTTCAGTCCAGTATCTGTACTGTCAGTGCTGTACTTTATCTTTCAGTCCAGTATCTGTCTTTTATCTTTCAGTCCAGTATCTGTACTGTCAGTATTGTGCTTTATCTTTCAGTCCAGTATCTTTACTGTCAGTATTGTAATTATCTTTCAGTCCAGAATCTGTACTGTCAGTATTGTACTTTATCTTTCAGTCCAGTATCTGTACTGTCAGTATTGTACTTTATCTTTGAGTCCAGTATCTGTACTGTCTGTATTGTACTTTATCTTTGAGTCCAGTATCTGTACTGTCAGTATTGTACTTTATCCTTCAGTCCAGTATCTGTACTGTCAGTATTGTACTTTATCTTTGAGTCCAGTATCTGTACTGTCTGTATTGTACTTTATCTTTGAGTCCAGTATCTGTACTTTATCTTTCAGTCAAGTATCTGTTCTGTCTGTATTGTACTTTATCTTTCAGTCCAGTATCCTTACTGTCAGTATTGTACTTTATCTTTCAGTCCAGTATCTATACTGTCAGTATTGTACTTTATCTTTCAGTCCAGTATCTATACTGTCAGTATTGTACTTTATCTTTGAGTCCGGTATCCTTACTGTCAGTATTGTACTTTATCTTTCAGTCCAGTATCTGTCTTTTATCTTTCAGTCCAGTATCTGTACTGTCAGTGCTGTACTTTATCTTTCAGTCCAGTATCTGTCTTTTATCTTTCAGTCCAGTATTTGTACTATCAGTATTGTACTTTATCTTTGAGTTGAGCATCTGTACTGTCAGTATTGTACTTTATCTTTGAGTCGAGCATCTGTACTGTCAGTATTGTACTTTATCTTTCAGTCCAGTATCTGTACTGTCTGTATTGTACTTTATCTTTCAGTCCAATATCTGTACTGTCAGTATTGTACTTTATCTTTCAGTCCAGTATCTGTACTGTCAGTAGTGTACTTTATCTTTCAGTCTAGTATCTGTACTGTCAGTATTGTACTTTATCTTTCAGTCCAGTATCTGTACTTTATCTTTCAGTCCAGTATCTGTACTTTATCTTTCAGTCCAGTATCTGTACTTTATCTTTCAGTCCAGTGCCAGTGTTAATACAGATCCAACAGTTCTGGCGACAGATGTATTCAGGGATATGTCTGATGTCGGGGACCACTATTAACTTTGACGTCATACAGTTTCAAAAGATTCCTCCCCAATACAACCATCTTGCGGGTTTGTTGGACGTGTTCAAAGCTAAACTTGTAAGTACTTAAGAATCACTCACCAACCAGGAATTAATCTAGACAAACTTTACTACTGGAAAAGGGTAGTATTCCCCAAGTGGTATACTTTCCTTTCTGAATATAAACAGAACTTCCATCAAGAAAATATACTGCAAACATGGAAAAATTTCCCCAAATTAGAACTAATTAGTATATTTATACTCAACATGTTTCTCAAATCATGCCATCATGAAAAAGAAATCTCAATCTAACCTCAACATTATTTCATGTAATCTTCATGTATGTCATATAATTTAAATATATCCCTCTTATGAATTCCAACCAGAAGGGGCTATCTGAAACTTTTCATTTTTTCAAAACTTCCCCAAAATTCTCCTTTTCCACATTGGGTGGTATTTCCCATATTGAAGGGGTGGGGGTGGGGGGGTGGGGTCTGTTGGATGTGTTACACTAAATACTTGTAACTAATAAAGAGTCACTCACCAATATAGCCATTCAGGGGGATGGGGATGGGTGAGGGGGAGGTCTGTTGGATGTGTTAAGCAAAATTTTAAGTACCAAAAGGTCACTCCCTGTAGAAGTCACAACTTTTATAATAAGATTTACTTTGTACCATGATATGAACTATCTCTGTAGAGGGTGAGATATCGCACAAAAGAAGATTAAGACCATCACTGTCCTATAGTTTACGTGGTGATGAGGTCTGTGTCAGAAATTGGTGTTTAATGTGAACTTTCACTCTCTTTACTTTCTGTTCAAAGGCTACCCAAATAACTCCAAGACCGAAGGTTACTGTTGCTGTCAGATTTACCTACTTCCTGCAAGAGTGGGTTAACTCCCCTTGGCCACAAGAACCACCCGGTAAGAAATGACTTCATGGAAAAGTGGAATAGTATCAATCTTTTAAAAACATAAATCGTGTTTGACATGTTATTTTATCTTTTGATATGTCTTATCAAACAATACTAGAACAATCGATAATCTGCTGGACCAATTTTAAATATATAAATAAATTTTGTTTGGTAAGGGAAACTAAAATATATATAAATTAGGGGAATTAGGTGTCGTATTGGATGAAAGGAAAACTCTTTTGAAGTTTGTGTCAGTATAGATTTAAGTTCATTCACATGCTTCTATTGACCTTATAAAGGGGTCAGCTGAATTGTGTTCTTTAGCCTACTGGGCTATTCAAATCGCCCTGCGTCCATGATCTGTCCCTCCATCCTTAAACAATTCTTGTTATTGCTCTTTCCTCTGAAGTTCTAGATGAATCTTTTTTTTTTTGAATTTCATATTAAGGTTCCCCTTGGTCCCTAATTGTGCTTGAACCCAGTTTCAGACTAATCCGAAAAAACAACATTGCCATCTTGGATTTTGACAGTAATTGTTTGTTATCACTATTTCTGAAGAAGTACTCAATGTGTCTTTTTCAAATTTCATAAATAGAGACTTCCCGTTCCCAATTGTGTATTGTCCTATTATTGGGCTGATCCAAAAAACAATATGGCCGACAGGTGGCCATCTTTGATTTTGACAGTAATAGTTTGTTATTACATTTTCTGAAGATGTTCTCAATGGATCATTCTCAGATTTCATGAATAGATTCCCCTTGGTCCGTAGTTGTGCTCTTTCAGTTTTGAGTATGCTGGAAAAAGCAAAATGACCCAATAGGCGGCCATCTTTGATTTTGACAATGAGAGTTTGTAATCACTATTTTCTGGGAAGTACTGGAGGGTTCTGTCACAAATTTCATATGTAGGTTCCTCTCTGTCCAAAATTGCCCATTCGGTTTTCTGTCCAAATGGGGTAATGGAGATTTTGATTTTGACATTTAAAGTGGGTAAACACTATGAGAAGTACAATATGGATCTATCAGAGCTTTTATATATAGCTCTTTTTGTACAGAAAAACAGAATACTGACAGGTGACCATTTTCTGCTTGACTGTTGAAGATGATTATTATTGCTGTCAGAAGTTGACAAATTTTGTACAATTAAAAGCAAATGAGAGGAAAAAAGAGAAAAGAAGGGAAAAGATCCAACTTTTAAAGAACAAATGAAAATCAAACAATGGTGGATGATAAGATCGCTCTGGGATTTCTTGTTTGGGAAAATTCCTTCAGTTAAAAGAATTAAAAATGGTTTGTCAAAATTAAGTCTAAAACAGATGAATTATAAAAAGGCTCACCATTACAAGTGAGTAATACTGCAAAGGTGTCAATATGTGTTTTATGTGGAAAGAAGGTGTTGTAGATTTTTTGAAATGAAAAGAAATCCATTTTATTGTGAGTGTAATGTGTCTTGGTAACCTGTCACCACCTTTAATCCATTTCTAAACTGAGTTGTCTCCCTTCACTAGTGGTCCATAAAAATGGAGATGGTAAGATTTTCTCTTTTTCTTGCATAATTACCAGATGCATGGTATGATTGCACATACGGTTCAGTATACCTGATGTCATGGCTCTAGCTGGCAATGCCTGCTTAAAAACAAATTTTATTAAAATGGAATGTTTATGATAACACTAAGGAATTGAAAGGACTCAGATTTTAAAACTTTTTTCCCCGGACTGAAATCAGCTTTAAAAAAAAGTTTTAAATGACAATGACTTCTAGCTTATGTTAATAGTCAGATATCCTAGCTTTGCTGATTCAACCAGAAGTTGTTTTACTGAATAAATTTAGAAAAGTTATTTTGGTGAGTTAGAGAAGAGATAGTGAGACATTCTATAGACCTCTTTGTTGGGTTTCTATATTAGACCAAGCACTATGTATTAGATACATACATCTTGATTTCTTATTTACAATCAGTTTTACATTTCATTTTTATTTACTCTGTTAATTCACTTTATTGGCAATGATATTTTTTTTCTTTAAAGTGTTTTTCTAACTGTCACATTGGTTAATTTTATATACTGTCTGCTTAGTGTTTGGTGCGTTGAGGTGAAATAGTTAAAGACTACTAATCACTTTTCTGTCAGTCCCTCTATACAGAAGTTGTATACAGACTACTAATCACTTTTCTGTCAGTCCCTCTATACAGAAGTTGTATACAGACTACTAATCACTTTTCTGTCAGTCCCTCTATACAGAAGTTGTATACAGGCTACTAATCACTTTTCTGTCAGTCCCTCTATACAGAAGTTGTATACAGACTACTAATCACTTTTCTGTCAGTCACCTCTATACAGAAGTTGTATACAGACTACTAATCACTTTTCTGTCAGTCCCTCTATACAGAAGTTGTATACAGACTACTAATCACTTTTCTGTCCCTCTATACAGAAGTTGTATACAGACTACTAATCACTTTTCTGTCAGTCCCTCTATACAGAAGTTGTATACAGACTACTAATCACTTTTCTGTCAGTCACCTCTATACAGAAGTTGTATACAGACTACTGATCACTTTTCTGTCAGTCCCTCTATACAGAAGTTGTATACAGACTACTAATCACTTTTCTGTCAGTCCCTCTATACAGAAGTTGTATACAGACTACTAATCACTTTTCTGTCAGTCACCTCTATACAGAAGTTGTATACAGACTACTGATCACTTTTCTGTCAGTCCTTCTATACAGAAGTTGTATACAGACTACTAATCACTTTTCTGTCAGTCCCTCTATACAGAAGTTGTATACAGACTACTAATCACTTTTCTGTCAGTCACCTCTATACAGAAGTTGTATACAGACTACTAATCACTTTTCTGTCAGTCCCTCTATACAGAAGTTGTATACAGACTACTAATCACTTTTCTGTCAGTCACCTCTATACAGAAGTTGTATACAGACTACTAATCACTTTTCTGTCAGTCCTTCTATACAGAAGTTGTATACAGACTACTAATCACTTTTCTGTCAGTCCCTCTATACAGAAGTTGTATACAGACTACTAATCACTTTTCTGTCAGTCTATACAGAAGTTGTATACAGACTACTAATCACTTTTCTGTCAGTCCCTCTATACAGAAGTTGTATACAGACTACTAATCACTTTTCTGTCAGTCCCTCTATACAGAAGTTGTATACAGACTACTAATCACTTTTCTGTCAGTCCCTCTATACAGAAGTTGTATACAGACTACTAATCACTTTTCTGTCAGTCACCTCTATACAGAAGTTGTATACAGACTACTAATCACTTTTCTGTCAGACTACTAATCACTTTTCCTCTATACAGAAGTTGTATACAGACTACTAATCACTTTTCTGTCAGTCCCTCTATACAGAAGTTGTATACAGACTACTAATCACTTTTCTGTCAGTCTATACAGAAGTTGTATACAGACTACTAATCACTTTTCTGTCAGTCCCTCTATACAGAAGTTGTATACAGACTACTAATCACTTTTCTGTCAGTCTATACAGAAGTTGTATACAGACTACTAATCACTTTTCTGTCAGTCTCCTCTATACAGAAGTTGTATACAGACTACTAATCACTTTTCTGTCAGTCCCTCTATACAGAAGTTGTATACAGACTACTAATCACTTTTCTGTCAGTCTCCTCTATACAGAAGTTGTATACAGACTACTAATCACTTTTCTATCAGTCCCTCTATACAGAAGTTGTATACATAGTGCTAATCCTTTTACAAGTCTGTCTCTCAATAAAGATGCTGTGTACATATTACTTATCACTTTTCTTTGTCTCTCCATGCTGAGGTTGTCATCATAGTACAAATCACTTTGTCTGTCCCTCTGTACAGAGGTTTTGAACATAGAACTAATCATTTTTCTGTCTTTCCCTCCATGCAGAGGTTGTCTACATAACACTAATCACTTTGTATGTCTGTCTGTACCTCCATGCAGAGGTTGTCTACATAGTACTAATCACTTTGTCTGTCTGTCCTTCCATACAGAGGTTGTGTTCACAATATTACATAAAGACCTGTTCAGAATTAGTTAATATTTAATTCATATTTATATCATATATCATTCCCATCAGCATTTAGAATCATTTATAATTTGATTCCCACCTCTTATGGTAAAAGGTCAAACAAAGGTCAAATAAAAAGATTATATACAAAATATCTAATGAACCTATGTATAGTTTTTGTTCATATTTACAACAAAGCATCTTACTATAAATATCTACACCTTATTAGATGTTGGTGATCATCAGTCAAGGGTAAAGGTCAAAAGGTCACCCTTCACCATATTTAGATTTAAATCTTAAGGCTTGTAGTGCACAAGATAATTCAGAAACAGATATATAGTTGAAAATGTATTTTAAAAAAACATGATGGACACAGTGTGCTTGTGTGTGGTGGCTGAAATGACAGTTATCTTGAATTTGACATTAACACACTTCATTATCGCTATTTCTTGAAAGTTATTGCATATAAGTCTTTCTCAGATTTCGCTCCGATGTGTAGATTCTTCTGTGTCACATATTGTTCATGTTCTGAATTTGTAATGGTATTTCCGGATCTGGAATTTCTTCTTTTATCTTACTGATACAGAAGTTGAGGGAGTTAGCGGCCACAAGTAAACTTGCTTGACAGTATAGCTATAGGACATAAATATTGTGTAGATACGATGACAATTAGAGGCTATTTTTATACCACTAGATTGAGCTGATTATCTTGATTAACACTGATAAAGCTTGTTAGGGTGACTATAACTGTGTGCTAATTGAGTTACCGTAAATGCTGCACAAACATAGCATTAAGTGTGCATGGTATCAGGATCCTTTCTGATGAACAGTGATCAATGTTGTTAGTGAGGGCTCTGTGTAAGTGGCTGTCATTAAAATTGATGTATTTGTTGGATCTGTCAGTGTTGTAGTTTCAGCAGAGTTATGCCCCTTTTATTATATGGGCACTGTTTGTACTAAACACAAACTCACTGCTGCTTGTATGGTGGTAAATTTTACCACTGATTGTGGATAACTGCTATTGTGCATGAGGTCACATGTAATCATGGTCTTGTGTGTGTTTGCTATGTTTTGTTGCTGGTAATACAAATTTGTATCTGTACATTGTGTACTATGCTAAATTAGTTACTAACCAATCTATTAAAAATTAGTCTGTGTGCTGGGAGGGTCATTATCGGGGATGCATTAACCCTATACAGTTTCATTAAAATATACACTACCCTGCAATAAAATCTTGACAAATTCATGAACTTTTATTTATTTTATAACAATTATGAAACAAGTTTTTCCAACTTATATTAATCACTCTTGTTGGCCCGGATGGAAGCATGCTAGGGGTCTTACTGTGGGAGGAAACTCAAGTACCCGGGGATAATCCATTTGGTTTGGCAGGTGACCCCATGTCTTTTCACGTCCATTTTGGGAATTGAACCCCAGATGGCAAGATGAAAGGCGAGTGCGTTATCACTGTGCCACCTGACTGCAAATTGATCACTGGTATATAATAAGCTCATGGGAATATTGAAACTTACAATTTTCCCCAAAGATATTGAATTGGTCAGTAACAGTTGCAAATTATTTCAAAAATACTTCATTCCCTTGTAATATGAATAGGGAAGGTCAAGAGATGGACCTGTTTTCAAAAGGAAAGGATTTCTGAAAGTTTGTGCTGTGAAATCTTACAGACAAAATTTGTCCCTTCAACAATAAGGTCTGTGGTTGTTCTATATATTGATAATTGGACACATAATATTTCAAATATGTTTGATTGAAGGATTTTACGAACTCTTAGTAAATGTTACTGTACATTAAAATTATAATAAAATATTAGTCTGGAAAAAGTCAGGAATTTATAATAGATGACTGTTTATGTACCTGTCCATGTCTTACTAGGCCTTAAGTCTGAGCTCTATCACAGGTCTGTATTAAACATTTTGTAACGATACAAGTCAAAATATTACAGGAAACAGTATATTGTAATGATTGTAAATATCATGTGGTAGATAAGGTGAAAACCCAGATATGTAATATCCCAACAGACCTTAATACTACATCAAGTCTGATATGGTGGATCTGTTTGTCCCAATAGAACTTAATACTACCTAAGTACAATATGGTGGATCTGTGTTTGTCCCAATAGAACTTAATACTGCCTCAAGTACAATATGGTGGATCTGTTTGTCCCAATAGAACTTAATACTGCCTCAAGTACAATATGGCGGATCTGCGTTTGATTAAATAGAAATTCCTTTACTTCATCAGGTACAAATTATAACAGTAGAAAGAGCAAAATTGAGCCTTAAATTTTTAGGATGAGCTAAGTAGATAGAAATATTTTGGGGAATTAGATTTCAGCTGAAATAGAAAATGTCAGGTGGACAATTGTTAAAGGAGAGTGTGAAGGGAGATTTATAAGGTAAATAAAATTTATTTTCTATGTAAATAAAATCAACATTGTAAAAAAAACGTAAAATTGTATTTTGCTTATGCAATTGTCTCCCCTAGATCTATCTTCTCTGATGGAGGATGAGATAGGGTGTACATCCTTCAGTAGCCTACCTTTTGGAGCAAGTGAAGATCCTGTGAGGTGAGTCAGTAACTCAGAGAACTGAGTCAGTAACTCGGAGTCAATAACTCAGAGAAATGAGTAAGTAACTCAGAGTCATTAACTCAGACAACTTATGGTATTATTCTAATCCTACAGACATTACTGTACACTGTATTATAAAAATCAAGATAGATTTTTTTAAACACTTTATTACATATATTATTTCAGTGAACTGCGACTAGCCTGCACCTGGCCGAGCTTGTCAGAGGATATGATTGTCGAGAACCAGAATTACAGGTAACCACAATTTGTTAATTATTTTGATATACGAGAGAAGGTATACTGTATATAATCAAGGATTATCATGTGATATATGATGTTGATATTAGTGTAAGAAAATGTGTGTGTATTATGAAATATGTTTCCAGAATTTTTTCTTCATTTATCTCCATGTTATATTGTTGTAAATATATAACCTTTGTTTATCATCCTTTGTTTTTGATCCTCAATTGAATCAATTTAATTACATATGTTCAGATGGACTTCCTCTAATTGAGATACCTTCATTTACAGTGACCTTGACCCGCTGCAGGCTCCTCAGTGGTCAGTGAAAATTGGCATGTCAGATGACCCCAACTGCTTATTAGGTATGTAAACAAAATCAAAAGCTTATGGGGACTTTTTAAAACAGACTGTGGCTACTAATTCATGTATAATTTTAAAGATTCGTGGATGATTGGAGAAAAGGAGTACTCAAACTTGAAATTATTTGTTGCTATCGGGACACCAGGAAAATAACATGAGGTAGACTATAGATGTATTCTGTAGTGTGATGAGGTATTCATGGAAAACTGTACCCCTGAAATGAAGTTTTAGGTTCACACCAGAAAAAAAGTTTTCACAAACTGTTGATGGTATACAGAAAAATTGTGAGGTTCATACCACAAGAAACTACCCACAAACTTTTGGTGGTGTACAGTAAATTTTTGTGGTTCATACTACAAAAGAAATTCCCACAAGTTTTTGGTGTTATAAATTTGTCAGGTTCATATCGTAAAAGAAATCCCCCACAATCCGATTGTAGTCTACAGTAAATTTGTCATGCTGACAAAAGAAAAAACTCCCCACAAATTTTTGGTGTTTTAAATTTTTCAGGTTCATATAACAAAAGAAATTCCCCACAAACTGATTGTAGTCTTATGGAATTTCCTCATGATCCATAGATATGCCTTTTCAATTATGAAATGTAATAGCAAGTAAGTGGTCAGTATTGGATTTAGATCGTCAATATTTGTTTTTGATAAGAGGAGAGAACCAAGATCCCATTACTTATTTATCTATTGAGTATATTTATTTTTGTGTCTGCAGGATATTATCTACAGAGCTTTGTGAAACATGGCTACCGACAGGAGAGCACAGAGGAACTGCTCTGGAATATGGTGGTGACAGACGAGGAGACAGGTAAATTTAATCAGTCACATGTACTGTGTAATGTTACCATGGTTACATCCCTCGATCAACAATACACTAAGAACATGTACCCCTTCCTCCATCAATCAACTATTACACACTCTTAATGATAACCTCCCTTCACACCCTCAATCAATACATACTGTGCATGATTACCTCCCTTCACACCCTCAATCAATACATACTGTGAATGATTACCTCCCTTCTCACCCTCAATCAATACATACTGTGCATGATTACCTCCCTTCCCTCCATCAACCAATACATACTGTGCATGGTTACCTCCCTTCCCTCCATCAACCAATACATACTGTGCATGGTTACCTCCCTTCCCTCCATCAACCAATACATACTGTGCATGGTTACCTCCCTTCCCTTCAACAACCCAAAAACATACTCTTCATGGTTACCTCCCTTCCCTCCATCAACCAATATATACTGTGCATGGTTACCTCCCTTCCCTTCAACAACCCAAAAACATACTCTTCATGGTTACCTCCCTTCCCTCCATCAACCAATATATACTGTTCATGGTTACCTCCCTTCCCTTCAACAACCCAAAAACATACTCTTCATGGTTACGTCCCTTCCCTCCATCAACCAATACATACTGTACATGGTTACCTCACTTCCCTCCATCAACCAATACATACTGTGCATGGTTACCTCCCTTCCCTCCATCAACCAATACATTCTGTACATGGTTACCTCCCTTCCCTCCATCAACCAATACATACTGTGCATGGTTACGTCCCTTCCCTCCATCAACCAATACATACTGTGCATGGTTACCTCCCTTCCCTCCATCAACCAATACATACTGTACATGGTTACCTCACTTCCCTCCATCAACCAATACATACTGTGCATGGTTACCTCCCTTCCCTCCATCAACGAATACATACTGTGCATGGTTACCTCCCTTCCCTTCAACAACCCAAAAACATACTCTTCATGGTTACCTCCCTTCCCTCCATCAACCAATATATACTCTACAGGGTTACCTCCCTTCCCTCCATTAACCAATGTATACTGCATGATTATCCTCCTTCTTCCATTACCCAGTACACTGTGCAGGATTAGCTCCCTTTATTGAAAGATTATTCTTTTGGGGGTAAAATCATCACATTTTAATATTCAACAGGATATTTATTGCTTGTTCAATTCTCTTAAGAAATGGATTTTAATAATATTAAATCAACTACTGTGAGTGTCAGAAGAGTTCGTCTTTTTTGGGGAAGAAAAGCAAATGTCATATTAAACGTAACTTGCAAAATATGCATTTTTATAAATTTATTGAAATTAATTTTAAAGATTATTACAACAACAAAACTGCAAGTTTGTAGTAGAGCTGGTGTCTTGATATCTCTCTGACCTTTGTCCCTGAAATGTCTTAAAAATTGAACAAATGGGAGTGATTGTACTCTTATGAAATTTTTTTTCTGCAGAAATGTGTTTTACTAGTGATTTGGACACACATTATACAATTTTGCCAATATAAATGTTTTTATTCTTAGAACTGGTGAATTTCAATTATTTCCATGTATTTCTCAAAAATTTTGATACACATTATGTAGAAATAATAACAAATTAAAAACAGTGATTCTGACCACCAACAATAATAATGTAATGTGATTTGTAGACCAGACCGGAGATATCAGTCAAGCTCTACAGAAACTAACAGAACCAAATGTGGGCTACAGTATCCCTTCAATATCCAACGTGGTCAGTCGTGCAAGTAGTCGTATGACGGTGAAGACAGGAGTGGCACCATTATCAGCAGATCTTCTTACAGAGATCCTAGAGGTGAGAGATTGATAAATCTTGGATAGGTTCTGAAAAGTTACATAGTGGTGGTGAGAGACGTAAAAGCCTAATAACAATGTTGCAGGGGATGAGGGTTTGTAGGATATACTATATGTAGTAAAGAGAACCAATAAAAAATACCAAGAGAAATTCACCACCCTCAGGAAAGTTGTCAGTATTCAGAAAATACTGGTCTGTTTTTACATCTTTGATACCGAAATCATCACAAATAAATAACCTACAAGGAAAATATAATCTAAAATACAACAGACTAAATTTTCACACCTTTTGCCGATGTCTGCTTGCTGAAATCCAGGTCAAATTAGGCTGGTATCAAGTGAAAACACTGTTGGCATGTATTTAATTCACTTTCAGGTGACATTTTTTGGTTACAAATATATATGTATACAAACTCGGAATAGCATGTCAATTTTCATGTTCAAAATCAAAATCAAAGAGAGACTTCTTTTCATGTGGTGCTTTGTTTAAATAAAATCAGCAACCACTGTTGTACTGTGTTCATACCAAAGCCTGAAATAAATGAGGTTGTGAATGAAATTATGTATATTCCATGTCGCTCAACTGAGGGGTTATACAGTTTACTTATTGCAAGATTCAAATAAAATGAAAAGATTAAACATTGTCCTGATACTGAAGGAGGTGAGTAAGGTAGGTCCTTTAGACCTGACACTGAAGGTGGCTGATTCTTTAGACCTAATTCTGCATCACTGCTTTGTTTATGTCACAGTTCTTGTTCCCGGATGCTAAAGACTCGACTGACAAACAGAAGGAGGATGGTGAAGAAGAGAAGGAAACAGACGCTACTGAAGTTGATCCTCCAGAGTCTGACAACCGATATACGGACGTCATCAGGGTAGTGTAGTTAATCTAAATCTAACAACTGGTACACAGAGGTCATCAGGGTAGTGTAGTTAATCTAAAATCTAACAACCGATATACGGACATCATCAGGGTAGTGTAGTTAATCTAAAATCTAACAACCGATATACGGACATCATCAGGGTAGTGTAGTTAATCTAGAATCTAACAACCGATATACGGACATCATCAGGGTAGTATAGTTAATCTAAATCTAACAACTGGTACACAGAGGTCATCAGGGTAGTGTAGTTAATCTAAAATCTTACAACTGGTACACAGACGTCATCAGGGTAGTGTAGTTAAATCTGAGACTGACAACGGGTACACTGACGTCATCAGGGTAGTGAATTTGAATGATATATAGTTGTACACATGAATATCCAATCTGTATTGATTTTGGAAATCAGTTTGTTACGCAATTGTAACAAATTTTTAAATTTTCCACACCTGAGTTAATTTTATTAATCCACACCTGTTATTCACATACTTCAAATGTCAAGAATGTTGTTGAAAAAAGTTCAATCATAATTACTGGTGTGAAAGGTCCTCAGATGTTGTACAATGGATCTCTTCACAATCGCCCTGCAAAATCTAGCTAGAATAGTTAATTCAGTGATGTTTGTAAGATGTCAGCATATCAGTTACCAAGTGCATCTAATACCATAAGGTAATGGTCTGGAATATAAGATACAAAAATATTTGATGTTGGATATTAAACATTAATGTCACGGCTGAAAAAAACCCAGAGAAAGCACTAATATAAGTATTAATTTTAGATAATTAATTTTTCAGAACCTTTCTAAGCAGTTGAAGTCCTGTCCTAATGACACGTTGGTGCACAGTCTGGCTGTGTGTCTGTGTATCATCAATATCAGTAATGGGGGTCTCCGGGGCTTAGCTCAGCTGTGGCAGGAGTTTGTCCTCGAGATGAGGTACCGCTGGGAAAATAAATGTTTTATTAAAGGGTAAGTATCATCGTATTACTGATTTCAAGGATTATGTCTTCACTCTTGGTTTTTCCTATTTGTATCAGAGTTCTAATTGATATTCTCTATATAATGAATGATATGTAAAAATCTAAAGATTAATAAAAAATATCCATAGCCAGAGATGCAAAATGCTCATACAGACAAATCTGTCATGGAGACCACCTTTATACAAAGGCAAATTGCTATAAAGACCCCTTTTTTTGTTTCCTATGTAATGAAATTCATCGTAATTGTACCTCTATACAGAGGCCACCTGTCCATAAATACCCCTTTTTTTGTTTCCTATGTAATGTAATTTATCATAGTTGTACATCTATATAAAGGTCACCTGTCTATAAAGACTTTTTCTGTTTCCTATGTAATATAATTCATGGTAGTTGTACCTGTATATAGAGGCTACCCCTCTATAAAGGCCCCTTTTTTGTTTCCAATGTAATATAATTCATTGTAGTTGTACCTCTATACAGAGGCCACCTGTTTATAAAGACCCATTTTTTGTTTCCTGTGTAATGTAATTCATCGTAGTTGTACCTCTATATAAAGGTCACCTTTGTATGAAGGCATTTTCTCTCTTCCCTTGAGTGGCCTCTATAGACAGGTTTGTCTGTATGTTTAAGGAGAGATTGAGCATTTTATTTTTGCACTAATATGATTTCACATATAATGTTTGTAAATAGTCAGTCAGTTTTCTGTGAAAATTTACACTGTGGCACTCATCAGACTTTTTATATAACTTTGTTTTCTCTGTACAGTATAGAGCCTGGTGCTCCAAACTTGGGATCATGTCTGATCTACCAGAAACTACAGGTATGGTATTTTGAAACATCTGTTGACTTTCAACATTATCAATTAATCATATAATGGGGTGCGTGTACCTGTATTAAGTCTGGTTCTGTCCCCGTCTCAGAGAGAAGGAAACCGTGACCTTACACATGTATAGCATGCAGTATCACCAGTCCACAAATCAACAAACAACAGTTCATGGTCTAGTGCTAAGTATTGAAACTGTCAATGTGCGAAATCTGGTCACGATTCCATATCATGCGTGTTACAATGATATATGTGGCCTTGTATGATATAATTGTATTATAGTTTACACATATGATTATCATAATATATGCGACCTTGTACAATATAATCTCAAGGTCACACACTTTATCATTATATGATGTGATTTTATTTTTTAAAGAACTAATGGATTATACCTTCATATACTTCAGATGCTAAACTGTTGCATTGAGCGAAAAATGAAAAGAGAACAGTTATATAAAGGTTATGAAGGTAACATAGACAGTTCATGTTTGTCTGAGAACGAGAACATAATTAAGGAAACTGAGACAGGAAGTGGTGATCGCAGAAATGCGGACAGAAGAACATCGGAAAGTGTAAAAGCAGATGCTTCAGTGTCTAGTGAAGATTTCAAACATAGAAGCCTGTCAGACTCAAGTTTACAGGACAGAGCTGCTAAGTTATCTCACATGGATGTACAGAGTTCCAGTGAGGATGAGTTTTTCGAATGTGATGAAGCGACTTCTCGGAAGGGAAGTATGGAAGTGAACCAGGAAAATGAAGAGGAAACGGAAAAGAAGGAATCCTGGAAAAAGCGTCTAGATGACCCAGATAAAGAGGCAGATGAATGTGATAATGTTAGTGATAATGGCTTGGAGGAGCCAGGAAGTGGAGACAGTTTGGACTCTAGCAGTGACACAGCTTTTAAAGAGAGTTTTACTCATGGACCTGTGGGGCGATTGGCCCCTTTTGGAGATCTAACATTGATTGAATCAGGAGAACAGATGTACATTCCTGTGACACAGGAACCTGCTCCTATGACAGAGGACATGCTGGAGGAACATGCTGAGATTCTGGCAAGGTAGTGAATTATCAAATCTTTTATGATTGGAGGAGCCTGGTGTTGTCTGATTTCTAGAATCACATTAAGTATATCTACCAGGATTGTACCTTTTTGTACAAGTTTGTCACTTGTTAAAAATTTGTCATTGGTCACTTGTCAGATGCAAATTTGTTATTCTCAAACCTACAAAGGCAAGTTTATCTTTCATGACACATTTGTTATGTAAAAATTGACCCTTAGGTGTGGCACATCTCAGGGGAAATTATGTCTAGGTCACATTTTTGATATAGTTGAGATACCAACCTGATAACCATATAAACTCTTACTGGGAATCAAAAGAGCAAGACAGTAATGATATAAGAATTGATCCATTGATCTGCCCCATCAAAGGGGTTAAGTGGCTGAGCTTTAATTTGGAAATATTTGAAATGCCCAACCTAAAGGCATGTATAACATTGCTGGCCTTTAAGATCCAGATGAGCAATACAGGGCCTATGAGCCTCTTGTCTTTGAAGTGATGACCTAGGTGGTTAGATAGATCTGAGGGTAGCAACAAATTGCGAATCAAACCAGTTTCATCAAGTATATTTTATGTAATAATAACTTTTCTGTTTAGATTAGGAACATCATCTGAGGGAGCACAGCTGAGGGCAAGAATGCAGAGTGCTTGTCTTATGTCTGATATGGAGTCCTTCAAGGTAAAGATTTTACTGTCTGTAGACATCTTATTGTGTCTGACAGGGGTGTCCTTCAAGGTAAAGATTTCACTGTCTGTAGACATCTTATTGTGTCTGACAGGGGTGTCCTACAAGGTAAAGATTTTACTGTCTGTAGACATCTTATTGTATCTGACAGGGGTGTCCTACAAGGAAAAGATTTCACTGTCTGTAGACATCTTATTGTGTCTGACAGGGGTGTCCTTCAAGGTAAAGATTTCACTGTCTGTAGACATCTTATTGTGTCTGACAGGGGTGTCCTACACGGTAAAGGTTTCACTGTCTTTAGACATCTTATTGTATCTGACAGGGGTGTCCTACAAGGTAAAGATTTCACTGTCTGCAGACATCTTATTGTATCTGACAGGGGTGTCCTACAAGGTAAAGATTTTACTGTCTGTAGACATCTTATTGTGTGTGACAGGGGTGTCCTACAAGGTAAAGATTTCACTGTCTGTAAACATCTTATGGTGTCTGACAGGGGTGTCCTACAAGGTAAAGATTTCACTGTCTGTAGACATCTTATTGTGTCTGACAGGGGTGTCCTACAAGGTAAAGATTTCACTGTCTGTAGGCATCTTATTGTGTCTGACAGGGGTGTCCTACAAGGTAAAGATTTCACTGTCTGTAGACATCTTATTGTGTCTGACAGGGGTGTCCTACAAGGTAAAGATTTCACTGTCTGCAGACATCTTATTGTGTCTGACAGGGGTGTCCTACAAGGTAAAGATTTCACTGTCTGTAGACATCTTATGGTGTCTGACAGGGGAGTCCTACAAGGTAAAGATTTCACTGTCTGTAGACATCTTATTATGTCTGACAGGGGTGTCATACAAGGTAAAGATTTCACTGTCTGTAGACATCTTATTGTGTCCGACAGGGGTGTCCTACAAGGTAAAGATTTCACTGTCTGTAGACATCTTATTATGTCTGACAGGGGTGTCATACAAGGTAAAGATTTCACTGTCTGTAGACATCTTATTGTGTGTGACAGGGGTGTCCTTCAAGGTAAAGATTTTACTGTCTGTAGACATCTTATTGTGTCCGACAGGGGTGTCCTACAAGGTAAAGATTTCACTGTCTGCAGACATCTTATTGTGTCCGACAGGGGTGCCCTACAAGGTAAAGATTTCACTGTCTGCAGACATCTTATTGTGTCCGACAGGGGTGTCCTACAAGGTAAAGATTTCACTGTCTGTAGACATCTTATTGTGTCCGACAGGGGTGTCCTACAAGGTAAAGATTTCACTGTCTGCAGACATCTTATTGTGTCTGACAGGGGTGTCCTACAAGGTAAAGATTTTACTGTCTGTAGACATCTTATTGTGTCTGACAGGGGTGTCCTACAAGGTAAAGATTTCACTGTCTGTAGACATCTTATTGTGTCTGACAGGGGTGTCCTACAAGGTAAAGATTTTACTGTCTCTAGACATCTTATTGTGTCTGACAGGGGTGTCCTACAAGGTAAAGATTTTACTGTCTGTAGACATCTTATTGTGTCTGACAGGGGTGTCCTTCAAGGTAAAGATTTTGTTTTATGTTCCATTATCGGTCATAAATGTTTCTGTAATAAATATGTCAATATATTTGAAACATTAAATGGTGGATTTTTCAACTGACAGTGTATATTGTATTTTGTAGGCTGCCAATCCAGGCTGTACATTGATTGACTTTGTACGTTGGTATTCCCCTCGAGATTGGATTGAGGAGGAAGTCATAGATGATGAGGGACAAGTTAATAAAAAATGTAAGTAAAGTTTATCTCTTTCCTGCCATTAAAAACATTGATATAGGCTTATTTTTACAAAAAATCTGGTTGAAGAAAATCTTATTTGTGTTAAGTATTAAGTAGCTATTGGGAAGTGGATAGCTATTCCTATTGGGTAAATGGAAACAATTATCCTTATCAATTAACCATAAGGCTAGTTCTAAAGTACACGCAGCATCTCAGGAACAACTGAAGGGATTAATGAAAATATGTCTTTTCACCAAAATGTGTGACCCCCATGGGGGCAGTGCAGTGCAGTTACCATTAGGGACAGAAGGAGGCAGAGCAAGGTCCATTAGGGGCAAAAGGAGGCAGGGCAAGGTCCATTAGGGGCGAAAGGAGTAAAGACATTTAAACCAGGAATATTGAAAGGAATTCTTGACAGATTATTAATTCAATTTTAATAATAGCAAGGCCAAGCTATATCAAAATTTGAAAAAAGTCTTTTCCTCGTGTACAACTAAATGTATTCATAAATGAACTGATAAGGTGGATCTTAGACAGAGAAAAGGCATGTTCATTAACATAGTATTAGAGATTTTATCTAGAAAAGATTGTCAGTTTCTGCTTGTTTTGTTTATATCAGTCACTCTGCTGGTATAAATGAATACTAGATGAGATTTATGCTTTAACATTTCATTCCTTGCATACACACAGGTCATTTGAGTGCCAGGATGATGATTCCAGGAAACATCTGGAAAGAGGCTTGGGAATCCAGTCAAGCAATTCCAGCGCGGCGACAAAAACGCCTTTTTGATGACACAAAGGAGGCAGAAAAGGTTTGATGATCAATGCAGTTATGCTGAAGTAGAACAACAAGCCCCTGTCATGTCTAAACTGATTCAAGTCCCAGTATATGCATCATTTGGCAAATTTACTAGTTTTCCAGAAAGGGAAACATCTTGGTTTTTATGATAAAAAATCATTATCACTATTTCTTAGAGGAGTTCCTAAATTTCGGGTAATTATAGAAAACAAAACAAGAAAATAAAAAGAATTTTTATAGAGCAAATAAAGATCAAACAATGTTGGGCACCAAGAATTTTGCTGTACATGTTGGTCATACTACAACAATTCGCAGTGTACAAAAGTGAGGGCTTGCAACACCTAAATTACAGAATTATTGCCATCTGTTTAAATTTTGTTTCCAGTTAAGTTGTTTGTTGGGGGCATTGATACTCTTGCTTTAGAATAGATGAACAGATTTGACCTAATTTTGTGTGAATGGTCTTGATGAAAGGAAGAAGATGATCCTTGGTAGTTAGGAACAGCAGGGAAAAGGGGTTTACTATAACAAACTGCTCCTCTAGATGGACGGATGCTGGCTATTTTAGTGATTAAGTGCTAAAGTTTCAGAAGATATTTTTTTTGTTTCAATTCCTGGCAAATTTGAATATTTGTTTGAACAGGTGCTGCACTTTTTGTCTTCGATGAAACCAGCCAATCTTGTCCTCAATCTTATGCCAGTCCTCATTCACTCTGCCATTATTAAAGTCATCCAGAATGGTAAGAATTAATTATAGTGTCTTGTATGTTAAAATGTCTATCAGAAAACAGCATTACCTTGGGAAATGTGTGTATGTCTGTGTCCAGTTTGTGTTAACATCTTCGTCAATATTTTTAAAAATAAAAAATATCACCAATGCCAGTTCAAAAAACCAGAAAATACAAACATGTCAACATAATCATAATCCAAACTCTAATTTGATAAAACTAGAGAAAAATATTAACAAAAAAATAAGATTTACACAGAGACTCCTGAAATAGTGCAAGGTGAGACCAGGTGTTCTGCAAGTGTAAGCATTTTCTGCTTCATCACAGACACCTGCCATGTAAATCTTGGTCAATCTAAGAATGTAATTTCATGTTACCAAATGAGAACAAGGTATACAACAACAGAACCAACATGCAAACTAACGCGTATCAAACACCTTTTGTGGTATTGTAACCATGTAAACTACACTGCTTTCTTATTGGAACTAAGATGTTTTATATTCACAATTATACCAAAATTGTTTAAAAACTGAGAGAAATTGAAGTAATTTTCAACAAATTGATATTTTGGTCCGCAATGTTCAGTCCTTTGGGTTGAATTACAATACTTAATCATTTTTACATAAAGAAGTCTATATTAATTATGTTTGAATGTTGCAGGATAGTATCCATACACTATTAACATTTAATATGTGTAAGATTTTGTATTCACAGAGGATTCTGATATTCCTAAGCTGAAAGATGTGCTGGACAGTCTTATCAATCGTGCATCCAAAGTCACCCGAGCAGCTCATCAGGATATCAAGAAATACGAGGTTTGGCTATGTCCAACAATGTCTTATTGAATGTAATTTTTAAAGATGTGCATGTTTCTCATGCTTGAAATCAACCTTGTTATCTCTATAGCCTGTTGTGTTATAACAAGTGTTTATATTTCTCCTAGGACGTGGTGAGATATATCAATCTTGCCGAGACAATGATAGCTAGAGCGAAATCTCTCAAGTCCAAGTTCACCAAGGATCTTCTTGATCACAAAAACGCTGAGAGGGAGATGGAGCAGTTTGTTAGCGAGTTATTACACCACCAGGAAGTCGCAGTTCGAGGTGGACCCTACGGCCCTGCAGGATCTTGTATACACAAGTTATTTATAGCTGCTCAAAAGGTAGGTCACTGAAGGTGCCTGGCTGTTAAAATTATGTTTTGTTTACATCATGGTAGTGATCTGAGATGGACCTAATAGCCTTGTTTATCTTTCTTTTTTCTTCTTCAAATAACATAGTCTACTACAAATTAATATACTGTATAGATAGTAATTTTAAAAGGTTAAAATTTTCAGATTTTTTTTCAAAACAACTTGATAATATTTCAGCGAATTTAACATTCTCAATCTGGATGTGTTTCGGTATTATATATAATGATAAACTTTATTTATTTTACAACAATTGCAAAACAAGTTATGTTAGCTTATACTAATCACTCTTGTTGGCCCGGATGTAAGCGCGCGAGGGGTCTTATTGTGGGAGGAAACCGGAGTACCTGGGGAAAAGCCACGTGGTCGGGCAGGTGACCCCTTACCTTTTCACGTCCATTCCGGGAATCGAACCCCGGTTGGCTAGGTGAAAGGCGAGTGTGTTACCACTGCGCCACCCGACGACTCAGTATTTCACAGATTTCATAACGATGTGAAAATAACGGGCTATAATATAATGTTATACTGTTATAAATAAGGTAATGTAAACCTTTACAACCTGTAGAGTGTTGTCAGTATACAGGAGCATGGTAGTCTCAGAATGAAACAAATAATGAATTGTAAGATCAGTTTGGGGACATGATTGTATGGTATTGATGTGTTGCTTCAGCATTACTAAGTATGCTTGTTGTTTTGACAGGAAATCAACATGGTTGTAGACGATGGTGAGGAGAAAGAAGAGGATGGTAGAATGAGCAGCTTGTCGGCATTCCCACGCCCTGTCGGGCGCGAGTACATCCTTCGAACATTTTGTCCTCGACCAGCTGCCTACTCAAAGTCATTACCTCACAGACTGTATTGTAATATTATGGAGGGCCATGAGTTTCACCTGGCTGGAGCTTTCTCTACAGACACAACCTTCCAGTGACACCTCACCCGATACAGACACAATCTTTTAGTGACACCTCACCCTGATACAGACACAACCTTCCAGTGACACCTCACCCGATACAGACACAACCTTCCAGTGACACCTCACCCGATACAGACACAATCTTTTAGTGACACCTCACCCCGATACAGACACAATCTTTCAGTGACACCTCACCCCGATACAGACACAACCTTCCAGTGACACCTCACCCCGATACAGACACAACCTTCCAGTGACACCTCACCCAGATACAGACACAACCTTCCAGTGACACCTCACCCCGATATAGACACAACCTTTCAGTGACACCTCACCCCGATACAGACACAAACCTTCCAGTGACACCTCACCCAGATACAGACACAACCTTCCAGTGACACCTCACCCCGATATAGACACAACCTTTCAGTGACACCTCACCCCGATATAGACACAACCTTTCAGTGACATCTTACCCAGATACAGACACAACCTTCAAGTGACACCTCACCCTGATACAGAAACAACCTTTCAGTGACACCTCACCCAGATACAGAAACAACCTTTCAGTGACACCTCACCCTGATACAGAAACAACCTTTCAGTGACACCTCACCCAAATGCAGACACAACCTTTCAGTGACACCTCACCCAGATACAGAAACAACCTTTCAGTGACACCTCACCCTGATACAGAAACAATCTTTCAGTGACACCTCACCCTGATACAGACACAACCTTTCAGTGACACCTCACCCAGATACAGACACAACCTGTCAGTGACACCTCACCCAGATACAGAAACAACCTTTCAGTGACACCTCACCCTGATACAGAAACAACCTTTCAGTGACACCTCACCCAGATACAGAAACAACCTTTCAGTGACACCTCACCCTGATACAGAAACAACCTTTCAGTGACACCTCACCCAGATACAGAAACAACCTTTCAGTGACACCTCACCCTGATACTGAAACAACCTTTCAGTGACACCTCACCCAGATACAGACACAACCTTTCAGTGACATCTTACCCAGATACAGACACAATCTTTCAGTGACATCTTACCCAGATACAGACACAACCTTCCAGTGACATCTCACCCTGATACAGACACAACCTTCCAGTGACATCTTACCAAGATACAGACACAACCTTCCAGTGACATCTTACCCAGATACAGACACAACCTTTCAGTGACATCTTACCCAGATACAGACACAACCTTCCAGCAACATCTTACCCAGATACAGACACAACCTTTCAGTGACATCTTACCCAGATACAGACACAACCTTTCAGTGACACCTCACCCAGATACAGACACAATCTTTCAGTGACATCTTACCCAGATACAGACACAACCTTCCAGTGACATCTCACCCTGATACAGACACAACCTTCCAGTGACATCTTACCCAGATACAGACACAATCTTTCAGTGACATCTTACCCAGATACAGACACAACCTTCCAGTGACATCTTACCCAGATACAGACACAACCTTTCAGTGACATCTTACCCAGATACAGACACAACCTTCCAGCAACATCTTACCCAGATACAGACACAACCTTTCAGTGACATCTTACCCAGATACAGACACAACCTTCCAGCAACATCTTACCCTGATACAGACACAACCTTCCAGCAACATCTTACCCTGCTGCAGACACAACCTTCCAGCAACATCTTACCCTGCTACAGACACAACCTTCCAGCAACATCTTACCCAGATACAGACACAACCTTCCAGCAACATCTTACCCAGATACAGACACAACCTTCCAGTGACACCTTACCCCGATACAGACACAACCTCCCAGTGACACCTCACCCCGATACAGACACAACCTTTCAGTGACACCTTACCCCGATACAGACACAACCTCCCAGTGACACCTCACCCCGATACAGACACAACCTTCCAGTGACATCTCACCCAGATACAGACATTTGTGGCATCATTTAAGTCTCTGACACTGTCAGATTCCAGAGTCTGGGTGATCAAACATACATGTATTTATATTCATAAAGTGTACTGTTAGCTTGTTTGAGATGTAAATGTCTTCTGCTTTTTTTGTTATTAAATTAATATGTATAAAATCTTATTTAACTTTTTGTGTTGATTATGTGATACAAAGAATATTTGCTCTCAATTTCACAAAAGATTGAGAATATTGTTCTGAAGGATTTTTAGAAGTCCCAGAGAATTCATGCTCATTACCATAATAAGATATGAAAATGAATTTCTAGTCCTTGTGATATAATATATTTATAAGGGTATCACAAAATTACATTAGATAATTACAAACAGGTGTTTAATTGATCTGTTGTGAAAATGACCTGCTGCAGAGTAATTGCTTATAGAATCAACAGGAAACCTAAGGTGGATTTCATGTAAGCTGGAACGTGTAAACACAGCAAGGTCAATAGCAAGACTATGTCAACTTCTGATCAACAGCAAGAACATGTCAACTTCTGGTCAACAACAAGAACATGTCAACTTCTGGTCAACAACAAGAAAATATATTTTTGTTGACAGCAAGATCATGTCCTATTCTTGTTGGCATGGCGAATATGTCTACTAGTTTGTATTGAGAATATGTTAACTTCTAGACATCTCTCATTAATTTTACTGAGTGAAACTGCTACAGCTATATTCATGTGTTTTGGACCTTGGTGTCCTTGACCTTGGTGTTCTGAACCTTGGTGTCATTGACCTTGGTGTTCTGAACCTTGATGTCCTTGACCTAAGTGTTCTGTACCTTGGTTGGTGTCCTTGAACTTGGTGATTCGATCCTTGGTGTCCTGGACATTGTCATCATGGACCTTGGTGTTCTGGACATTGGTGTCCTGGTCCTGTGTATTCTGAACCTTGGTGTCTTGGACATTGGTGTCCTGGTCCTGTGTATTCCGAACCCTGGTGTCCTGGACATTGGTGTCCAGGTCCTGTGTGTTCCGAACCCTGGTGTCCTGGACATTGGTGTCTTGTTCTCTAGACTATTAAGTTGCATCTATCAGCCTTACTTTGTCACCTAGTCAACATCATTTTATATACAAGATATTGAGGGATGCATTATTTATTTATAAATCTGGCAAGAAAAATTTTACAAACTCAGGTACTTTATTTCCAAAAAGTTAAATTAAGGTCATGGGTCACTTTATCCTAGAAATAAAATGAAAGTCAAAACTCATAAAAAAGCAGTATTCATAAATATGTGTTGTAGTATTTACAATGACAACTAAATTCAAACTTTACTGAAATGTACATCCTTTTCCAACTCCATATCTCAATCTAAGGCCAGTATTCTCCAGTATCACTGTTTCTGGAGAGAGTTATCTTATTTTCCACCTTTTTGAATCTGATTCCTCTGACATATACAGTGGATTCGCCCGACAGGATGCTGCATCTGTTCCTCATTGTGACTGAAACATTTTCACACCACTGTCAGAGAAGAACTTTGATAACCTGTGGTTTATTTAAAACTATACCCAGTTTGATGTCAACTAAGGAAAACAGGAACCATTTGAATGGACAGGACTACAGCTGTAGCAATCAGTGTTGTATAGCTGGCCCAGAGAACACCACAGGACGACATTAGTTGGATCTTGTATTTCGATGTCCCTGCAATGAAGCATACAGTGTATAATGCTACAGATACTTCTAAACACTGTTCACATGGCAACTATGGATCTAGCTAATGACTACATATTGACTAGGGTTATAACATGTGGACAATACATGAGATTCCTGTTAAGGATATAATCTTGACTTTTATCATCCATCAGTCAAGTGAAGGGAAACATCTGTACATAATGTTCCTGTTGTCTTTAACAATGGGTTTAATCTTAGCAGACTTGTGTCTTATGGGAGAGTAGTATTTAAGCAGAGGGTTGTATCTTACCTGAGGATGTATCTTACCTGAAGGATGTAGCTTACCTGAGGGAGGTATATTACCTGAGGGATGTAGCTGACCTGAGGGAGGTATATTACCTGAGGGTTGTATCTTACCTGAGGGAGGTATATTACCTGAGAGTTGTATCTTACCTGAGGGTTTGTATCTTACCTGAGGATGTATCTTACCTGAGGGATGTAGCTTACCTGAGGGAGGTATATTACCTGAGGGTTGTATCTTACCTGAGGGAGGTATATTACCTGAGGGTTGTATCTTACCTGAGGGAGGTATATTACCTGAGGGTTGGTATCTTACCTGAGGGTTGTATCTTACCTGAGGTTTGTATCTTACCTGAGGGTTGTATCTGACCTGAGGTTTGTATCTTACCTGAGGGTTGTGTCTTACCTGAGGGTAATTACCTGAGGGATGTATCTTACCTTAGGGAGGTATATTACCTGAGGGTTGTATCTTACCCGAGGATGTATCTTACCTGAGGGATGTATATTACCTGAGGGTGGTATCTTACCTGAGGGTTGTATCTTACCTGAGGGAGGTATATTACCTGAGGGTTGGTTTCTTACCCGAGGATGTATCTTACCTGAGGGTTGTGTCTTACCTGAGGGTAATTACCTGAGGGATGTATCTTACCTTAGGGAGGTATATTACCTGAGGGATGTATCTTACCTGAGGGTAATTACCTGAGGGATGTATCTTACCTGAGGGTAATTACCTGAGGGATGTATCTTACCTTAGGGAGGTATATTACCTGAGGGATGTATCTTACCTGAGGGTAATTACCTGAGGGATGTATCTTACCTGAGGGTTGTACCTACCCGAGGGTTGGATCTTACCCGAGGGTTGTATATTACCTGAGAGTTGGATCTTACCTGATGGTTGTATCTTACCTGAGTGTTGTGTCTTACCTGAGAGTAATTACCTGAGGTTTGTATCTTACCTGAGGGTTGTGTCTTACCTGAGGGTTGGATCTTACCCGAGGGTTGGATCTTACCCGAGGGTTGTATATTACCCGAGGGTTGGATCTTACCCGAGGGTTGTATCTTACCCGAGGGTTGTATCTTACCCGAGGGTTGTATCTTTACCCGAGGGTTGTATCTTACCCGATGGTTGTATAGTACCCGAGGGTTGTATCTTACCCGATTTTTATCTTACCCGAGGGTTGTATCTTACACGAGGGTTGTATCTTACCTGAGGGTTGTATCCTACCTGAGAGTTGTGTCTTACCTGAGGGTTGTGTCTTACCTGAGGGTTTTATATTGCCTGAGGGTTGTATCTTACCTGAGGGTTGTATGAGAGCATGGAAGACTTTCAGATCTAGTGGTGCGGAAGCAGTGAGTGTCTTGAGCATCTTTACTTTGGAGCTACCATCCTTTCTTGCCTAGGTAATTACAAGAAAATATATTTATTTGAAAAAGCATACAATCAGTGGAAAAAAGTGTTCTTCAGAATTACCCCACAGGTATTCATAATTGGGTACTGTAGATTTTAGAAAACAACAATGAACAATCAAATCCATTTTTGGGAGACGAGTGAAGTATGTCTGATGGCAAAGTAACCGAACACATTTTATTCAAATCGCCGTGTCCGTGGTCCGTCGTTCGTCCGTCAACAATTCTTGTTACCGCTATTTCTGGAAAAGTACTGGATGGACCTTTCTCAAATTTCATATGCAGGTTCCCCACTAGTTGTGCATTGTACCTTTTTTGAACTGATTCGCATTCAAGATGGCCGACAGGTGGCCATCTTGGATTTTGGAAGTAAAAGTTTGTTACCGCTATTTCTGAGAAAGTACTGGATGGATCTTTCTCAAATTTCATATGCAGTTTCCCCTTAGTCCCTAGTTGTGCATTGTACCTTTTTTGGACTGATTCGAATTCAAGATGGCCGACAGGTGGCTATCTTGGATTTTGAATGCAAAAGTTTGTTACTGCTATTTCTTGGAAAGTACTGGATGGATCTTTCTCAAATTCCATATGCAGTTTCCCCTTGGTCCCTAGTTGTGCATTGTACCTTTTTTGGACTGATTCGAATTCAAGATGGCAGACAGATGGCCATCTTGGATTTTGAATGTGAAAGTTTGTTACTGCTATTTCTTGGAAAGTACTGGATGGATCTTTCTCAAATTCCATATGCAGTTTCCCCTTGGTCCCTAGTTGTGCATTGTACCTTTTTTGGACTGATTCGAATTCAAGATGGCAGACAGATGGCCATCTTGGATTTTGAATGTAAAAGTTTGTTACTGCTATTTCTTGGAAAGTACTGGATGGATCTTTCTCAAATTTCATATGCAGGTTCCCTTTGGTTCCAAGTTGTGCATCATACCTTTTTGGACTGATCCGAAATCAAGATGGCTGACAGGCAGCCATGTTGGATTTTGAGAGCAAAATCTTGTTACTGCTATATCTGAGGAAGTACTGGATGGATCCTTCTGATATTTCATAGATATTGGTTTCCCTTGGTCCCTAGTTGTGCATTGTACCTTTTTTGGACTGATTTGAAATCAAGGTGGCCCACAGGCAGCCATCTTGGATGTTGACAGTAATACAGCACAAGCATATTTCCCATTATCCACCTGTAACTGACTGCTATCTAATAATACTTTGGGATCTTTTTCAAATGATATTTGCTAATAGGTGCTTAATAAACATATCTTGTGCCATCATTGAGTACATTCAATGAAGACCAGTTCATGAACATTTACAACACCTGTAACAAACAAAAAAAAAATAAACAAATCTTCAAGAACTGAAAACAGATCCTCAAATGGTGGGCGCCAAGATCCCTCTGGGATCTCTCGTTATTTTTTATTATTATACTACTTTAAAAATGGTATTTTGCAACGATGCAATATCTCTTGCTATAAATAGAGAACACATGGTCGCCAGAGGCTCACCACTATCTTTCTTCACACTCGCCAAAATACATCTTATGTTTTAAGACATTGACCATGTATTCTATTTGTCCTGCAATATTGATTGAAAATCAGACAATTATAACTTCAGTATTTTTTGTTCAATCTGTTTACCTGTCGTTGACGTTACGCTGAATTTTGCCTGATGACGTACGCCAAAATTATTGTTCCGTGCAGAAATGTAGTTCCAAACTTCAACGGATATGACAGCGATTTTATGAATTTTCATAAATAAACTTATTAATTACAACATAAAAACACTTATTTCAACATTTATTCATATTATTAAATATAACTTTAAAGTAAATTCAGGAAGTAATTCTGTCGAATTACCCACTAGTGCTGAAATACAGCTGATTCCCGTCACTACCGAATACAGCAAAAATATATGTGGCAGGTGTATTCCTACAGTGGCAGCGCCAGGTTCCTTGTATTGATTGCCATGATTAAGGTATACTGAACGAGTTTTAAAATTAATATATTTAATTCTGTATTGTATTCAAATGAAGCAGTTTATGTTTTCACTGAACCATACCATAAAACTTCAAGTAACGGTAATTTGACGTTTTTTAATGTAAAACCAATTTTCATGATGTAATACTTACCATAACTTTAGTATGCAAATACAGTACCTACACCCATCTTTGTATCCCAACAACAAAAGATTCAAAAGAAAAACAATCCCGCCCTCCCTACAATCCACGAGCCATCACGGCAGGAACGCAGAGTGATCTCCCTTCCTCTCATAACCTTTATGGCGTACCCCACAGAGGGGCAGCCTCCAGATAAGGAAGAGGGGAAGATAGGGTGGGACTCCATGAAGTTATGGTAAGTATTACATCATGAAAATTGGTTTTACATTAAAAAACCTCAATTTCATTTCAGTAATAATTACCATAACTTTAGTATGCGAATTCCTCTTACCGTAGTGGTGACTAGAAGCCAGGCAGCCCCTTCAGCACAACCAAAGTAGTAGGGAGGGAGAACAGAGTGCCAAAGTGAAGGAAGGGACCTCTCTGTGAAAGAGCAGGTGTACCCACATGCCGCCGTACGGAAAGACATGGCCCGGGGCTAACGAGGAGGCCCAGCCACTGACTATGCCACCACCAAAGGTCCCGATGAATACAGGCCTTCTGAGTGGGAAGCTAGGGATCACAGATAAAAATCTGTGAAGGTATCCCTGCCCTGCCAGAATGCTGCAGACATGACCTCCTGAAAGGAGGACCCATTGAGAGAAGGGCCCAGGATGAAGCAAGGGCCCTGACCTCGTGAGACCGCGCTTTCGCTCTCGCCCGAGCCAGATCATCAAAATGCTCGTAAGCATACTAAATCACCTGGCAAACCCACCTGGAAACCGACTGGGAGGAGATATCTCGTTGTCCCTGTTTGATGGGCAAAACAGACGGTATCAAGATAAAACCTAAGAGCCCGACAAGGACAAAGCAACCTATCTCGCTCCTCCGAGCTAGTCACAGCCAGGATCCTGATGGGATCGTGCGAGAACCCCGGAACCTGATTCTTCGCTAAAAACAACTCTATCCATAGCAAAGCCTCTGATTAGGGCAGAAAGAGAGGAGGACTAACCTATCTCCTTCCTGCCATAACAAGCAAGAACTCTGGCAATAGCTGTACGATAGCCAGCAATAGTGCCAGGTGCCAGATAGCGGTACCTAAACAGAGAGATTAGGAAGTCCGCAATCAAATGCAGAGGCTTCGAATGAATAAGCTTCCTTGCCGACACACCAATCACAGAAGATCATCCAACGTGACTGGTAGACGGCAGAAGAGGAAGCCCTGATTGATTGCTCAATGCAATCTGACACCTCTTGAGAAAAGCCTGCCTTGGCGTGGCTTCCAGAGATAGCCTCAACGCGTGAAGGTGGAGGATCTCTGGTCAAGAGTGTGTCGTTCTGGGCCAAGGCTGGCGAAGGAGATTCGGTCTGGTGGGGAGAGCCAAGGGCTCCTCCACCAGAAACGACAAGAGCTCCTGAAACCAAGCTTGCCTCGGCCACAGAGGGGCTCTCAGAAGTAAGGAGCAGTGATGCTCCCAGAACTTCTGTAGAACCCTGCCCACCAGGTTGAAGGGAGGGAATGCATATGCATACGTCCCTTCCTATTCCAGAGAAAGGGCGTCCACAGCCCACGCCTTACGGTCTGGGACCGGGGAGACGAAGGTTAGCAGCTGGTTGTTCAGGGAAGTGGCAAACAGGTCTATAATAGGTCTGTCCCACGCCTGACAATTCCCCTTGAAAATCAAGGGACACAGCTGCCATTCCGTCAACACCGGCTGGTGGCGCCTGGAGAGTGGCCACCAACACACTCAGCCTGCCAGAAAGATGCTTGACCGCTATGGTCAACTGCATGTCCTGGCAGAGAAGAAGGATGTGGATGGAGAGGGCACACAGGACATGAGACCTGGTGGCCCCTGTCTCTCCAGATACGCGACAACTGTTGTCGGTAGACACACTTTGGACTGCAGGATACCCCTAAAGGACTGCAGAGCCAAATGAACAGTCTCATCTCGAGTACACTGATGTGCTCCGAGAGCTGTTCGCCAGACCACTCCCCCGAGCGGCATTGGCCATCGAGGTAAGCTCCCATTCCTGTCATGAACGCGTCCATGAACAGGATCATAGAGGGGATAGGCTTGGTCAGAGGTACCCCGTGGAAAACGTTCTCCTGAATGGTCCACCAACAAAAGAACTCCCTGACCGACTGGGTAAGCGGGATCCAGGCCTCCTGGATGACGGAACCCAGTCAGACAGGAGGAACATCTGGAGAGGTCCGATGTGAATCCTCCCTAGGGGGACCACATCTGCCAAGGAGTTGAGATACCCCAGAAAACTGAGGAACCAATATACCTGGACAAGCGACCAAGCGATGAAAGTCAGAGCCAGAGCCCTGACCTTCTCGAACTTCTCCAGAGGTGGAAGGGCTAAGCCCCGAACCATGTCAAAATGGTTCCCCAGGAAGACGAAGTCCTAATATGAAGGAACCTCTGACTTCTCTCTGGAAGGAATGAAGCCGACTCTGAGCAAGAGTTTCAGGACCAGACGAGTGTCCTTCACTAACGATTCCCACACCAAAAGAGGCATGAGGGAGTCGTCGAAATAGATGTGGACGTCTATTCTGCGTGAGTGAAGGAAACCACCAGCAGCAACTTGGTGAACACCAAAGGAGCTGTTGTGAGCCCCAAGGGCATCTCTGCCTTGGCAGCATGGTCCCTACTTCCTCCTGGAGCACCCGTGCCCTTTCTGAATCCCCGGGAGGAGGAAAGAAACAAAAACGGCCGAGAGGCAAGGGACGAATCCTGAAGAAGGGGAATACCTAGACCCTCCCTGACCACCGACAAAAGCCCAAGCGTCATCTGTAATATCCTGCCACTGGGAAAGGAAAGCAGAGAGACGTCCGCCCACAGGGAGTTCCGGATGGGGCAGATCGAGCCCCTGCCAGACCAGAGAATCGTC